GGAAGAGGAATAGTAGGAATAGAGGAAAAGGAAAGGAAGAAGGAAGGGGAAGGAGAGGAGGATGGAAGGGAGAGAAAGAGAAGGAGAGAGGGAAGGAAGGGGAAGAGGAAGAGTAGGAGGAGAGGAAAAGGAAGGGAAGAAGGAAGGGGAAGGAGAGGAGGATGGAAGGGAGAGAAAGAGAAGGAGAGAGGGAAGGAAGGGGAAGAGGAAGAGAGGAGTAGGGGAGAGGTAAAGGAAGAAGGAAAAGGGAGGAGAGGAGGAAGGAAGGAAGTAGGGAAGGGAGGGAGGGAGAAAAGAAAGGGAAAATAAGGTGGTGTGTTACAACAGGCGGAAGAGATGGGAAATAAAACAACCCAAACTGTATATTATAACCTTTTAAATGGAATAATAAATGTATAAGAATGACAAATGTAAAGAAGAATAACTCTATGAATGTATACCTATAATTGTATGTAAGAGAATAATAAAAAAAAAACTTTTCAAGAGAAAAAAAAGGAAGATCTAATCCCATTTGGAGCAAAATTAACAGTGATAAACTTTCCAATCTGATCCATTTGCCTGGCATTTCTCTTTGCCATGGCAGATATTTTCTATATATCTGCCCAAAGTCACTCCAGAAGCTTCCATGGCTGCCAGGGAGAGCGGGGAATAGACACTGCCTCTCAAAACTTCTTCTGAGTGTGAACTCAACAGCCTTTTTCATACTATGGAAAGATCTTAATTGCTATGCCTTTATAGCAGGTATTTTAATTCTTTTAATTCTTTTTTGTGTGTTTTGTTTTAAAAAAAAATCACTCTTGATTGTTAGTGCTTCAAACTGAGATCTGCTTAAACACTAACGGATTTGTCATGCCACCCGATTAACTGGGCTGCAGATTAACTGCAGAAAAATAAACAAGCATTTGCCACCGCTTGTGGGGGGACCGTGATCCGACCCCCTTTCCCAAAAGCAGCTCCCATCAACCGAAGCTGTACAATTGCAAATAACAAAAACATACTTTTCTCAGTTATGTCTTATAATTATGTGAAGGCGTTGAGTGTCATAGCATCAACCTCTGGAAAACAATTTTGTTTAATGACTAGTGCTTAATTAGGGCTTGAACTCATCAAAAGCGAACTAGAACAAGACAGCATCAAACTTGGGTGGCAAAAAAAGTTTTTGGCCATTATGTCAGCTTCTTAAACTCTTGGGAAGGGGATTTTTTTTCTGGCAGATTTTTTCTGAACAGAAAGAAAACTTTTTTTAAAAAAAAGTTTCAATACTTCTTTCTTTCTGACATGCCAACAGGATTGGAGCATTTATCCATTCAATGGAAAAGTATTCCCTAAATTCTTGCTGAGTGCATACAACAATATAAACCTGCAAAGAAGGAGTCCCAGGGGTGCTTTTTTTTCAAGAGGCAACTGGATATTCTTGTTTTTTCTTTTGAAGACGTTTCGCTTCTCTTGCGAGAAGCTTCTTCAGCTCTGATTGGATGGTGGGGAACGGAAGGATTGATATCCCTTGCAGACAGCTTGTCCGTCCTTTGCATCCTTTTAGAGGGTCTTTGAGGCCACTTGGAGGTTTCTCTGTGTCCTCAGGGTCACCTGAGTGGTGCAAATGGTTCCTGCAGTCTGCAATTTTTCCTCTGGAAATCCATTCCTACTCCCACACCAGTCCAAGGGTCTGCATTCCAAATTGTTATAGCTAAAGGTTTTTTCTTTTGTAAAGAAGTATCGCAGATTTAACCGATTTGCTAGCTCACACCAACAGTAGTAAGAGTAGGAGTAATAGTAGTAGTAATAATAGATGTGTGTGTGTATATCTGTGTCTCCTATGACATCACCGGTCTCAACACTCAAAGTCCCTTGGAACTGAAATGAATGAGACTTCCTCTCACCCACTCACTAGGGATAAATTAATGCAATGCATTAAAACCATAATTCACAACTTAACAAGATTGGGTAAAGGCTTAATGGCTGCTTCCACACAGCTTGTATGAGGTCATGTGAATTGAGTCTGTCCAGTTGTGTTGATGCAGGGGTGAAATCTAGCAGGTTCTGACAGGTTCTGGAGAACCGGTAGCGGAAATTTTGAGTAGTTCAGAGAACCGGCAAATGCCACTTCTGGATGGCCCCAGAGTGGGGAGGGAAGGGAGATTTTGCAGTATCCTTCCCCTGCCATGCCCACCATGCTACGCCCACCAAGCCACACCCACAGAATCGGTAGTAAAAAATGTTGAATTTCACCACTGTGTTGATGGTTTAGTGGCTTGTACACATCCAGGAAACAGACTCCGTAACTAGCTTCAGGGCTACATGAATGCAACAAATGTATAAACACATGTAATAATGATTATTGTTATGAGTGGCCACGCAGTCAGCCAGATGTTCAGACTTGATTTGGCATTATCCACCTACTGAGACCTTCCCAAGGATCCTGGGATAGGCAGACGTTGTTATTTGATGATGTGAAGAGATATTATCACAGCTGTTCCAAGTCAAGCTGGCTTTTGCAATTGACCAATGGGGATTTTTGTCAATGCTGCCCGATGTTCAAGTGGTGCTCCAGATGTTCGGGGCTTATTATTTTGGTTCGTCGCACAGTCAGCAGATGTTCAGACTGGATTTGGTATTGTTTATCATCCATCTATTGAGTCCTTCCCAAGGATTTGGGATAGGCAAAGTGTTGCACATACCATCGCGGGGTGTAAGCTGTTCTGAATAGTCATGTGTTGTCCCCAAAACTGCGTTCTTGCTTGGTGTCGAAGACGATAATTCACGGGACACAAGGTGTGATACAGAATTATACTCTTATTTTGGTACCAAGATAGAAGGACCCCAGTTTGAAAAGCTAACCAAGGGCCAAGATTATAGTCAAGGGATGGTTGCATTCAACCCTTTGCCCTTCCCCTAATAATGCATGCACAAGAGATAATACTGATTGGTTATTTGGATCTCTGCCCCCCCTAAACCCTTACGCTTGTTAAGTTAAATAGCTAAATGCCACGTCACCTGTTTTTCATCCCAGGTCACCGGTATCGCGCAAATGTGCCAGCTCTGTGGGTTTTCTTAGAAGCAAGCTATTCTTGTTCCTAATATCCTGGCGAGTGGTTTTAAGGTGCTAACTTCTCTCTCGCTGTTAATGTGCAGCCCCCCCCTCCTTCCTATTGCAGAGCAGAATAAAAGAACAAACAGTTTTTATCTGAGGCAGCTCCCCCGCGACCCCCCTCCTTCTGCAGAGAAATGTATAAGCAGTTTAAAACTTCTGTCTGAAGCAGCAACCTTCACACTTCCCCCCACCACCACCTCCCGCTTCAGTGAGAGAGACAGGAAAGGAGCAAAGCTCTTGGTTGTTTATTGTAAGGCAAAGAAATGAAGACAAGAGAAAAATGTTTTATCAGAATTCATATTCTTCCCTCTCATTTGCATTCCATCCACCCCTGGGCCCTATCTCCGAAGGTGACCCTCCCTCTGATCCCCCAGGGTCTCACCTGGATGTACATTGCATCTTCTGATCCTTCACATCAGTGGTGGGTTTCAAAAAATGTTCGAACCTACTCTGTGGGTGTGGTCTCCTTTGTGGGAGTGGCTTGCTGGCCATGTGACCTGGTGGGAGTGGCTTGCCGGCCGTGTGTTCTCTCTCTCTCTCTCTCTCTCTCTCTCTCTCTCTCTCTCTCTTTCCTTTCTTTTTTTGGGTTTGTTT